TGCTGTTATCCCCAATTCTTTCCCTATTTTTGTACCTGGTAATGTTTGCTCCGAAATTGAACCTATCACTTGCTCCTGTGTTAATGCTGATGTTGTTATCGCCTCATCAGTACATTTATCATTTTTACCTTTGTTATCCACTATAATAACCTCGTTTTCATCAGCCCTCACCGATTTCGCAGCTTCTAAATATTTTGTGTTTGTGGCACCAGTTGCTACTGCAGTATAGGGGTAGCGGGAATTTTTGTATATGCACTGATGCACTGGCATCGATGACATTACTCCAGTAGAAATGAGCCTGCTGTTCACTGGTGGGGCGCTATAGATAGCTGAATAGCCACTAGCCTTAATAGCACTTTCTGCCATCGGAGTGGCCTCAATTTTCGGTTCAGTGATAGGCACCAAGGAAAGTTGCTCCAATGTCTGGCTCCCTGCAGTCGCAATCAATGTGGAGACCTGGGTCTCCAAGTTGAAGAAATCTGCTACAGGCATGGCTGACATGCCTGCATCTTTGATCAAACGATGTCCTGACATATTTGAAATCCCCATCGACTGCAAGTCTAAGACCATTGTCTGCGTCGCGGTTGTTCTCTGTTCTGCTTTCGGCCACCTTATGGAGGCGGCTTCTTCTGCGTCTTGCATTCTAACCATGACACTTTTGTTTTTCAAGTTTATGTTGTTGTTTCTTCTTTCTATAGCATTCCTTGACTTTCTCATTACCCCTCTTTCCTTTATTGCAATGATTTGATCCCTTTTCTCTTCACATTCGCTCCCTTCGGATAAATAAATCGTTTCGCTCCTACATCTCCCGTATAAGTTTATTTTTCCAATTGGCTTTGCTCTTTTATCGACAAGTTTTGCATCCCTGGGCGTGAATGCCTTCATTTGGTCTTCAAAAGGTACGTGTCCTGAAACACTTATCGATGTCATCGTAGCAGTATTTATCACTTCAGAGTACTTACTGGTATGCAGTCGGCCCTGACATTTATCACAGACTCTGTCAAAAGGCGTCATAGTATTACTCAAATCACTTTCCCTATCTTTCCCAACAGTTCTCCGGGTCTTAAGTGCGTTCACATTGACAATCCGTTGAACCTCGATTGCCGTTCTTCGTATCCGGTGCCAGGGTTCTTCAAATTCCCTATGCAAGCTTTCAAAACTACTGGTTTCTTCTCTTTGCAAAACCACGTGACCTCCACTTTTGTCATATAAATCGGAGGCGATATTTGACAAACCGTGATCCAGCCCTTCCTGCAACCTTTGCACCGTCGACAGAGATGAAAGTTCATCTCGCACCCTCTCTAACTCCGAAGCTAGATGTTCCACCTCGGCAGCAAATTGTTCAAATCTTTGCCTAAATAGAGAAGTACCAAGATGAGAGTCTCTATCCACTTACATAGTTTGCTCCATTGCCGAGTCGTCGGCGTACTTTTCTTTGCGGAAACGAGATTTCGCTGAATTGTAGTATCTCATTTGCTCCTGGAAGTTAATTCAAGAAGCATACGTTCAAGAGCCGTGGATTCGTATATGCTTAGAATCGCATTTAAAGACCGTGCATTAACGTAATGACAATTTCTTAATGCTCCGTATTATAATGGATTGAAGCCTATCGCTATCTGGTTGTCACTGCAATGTTCGTATAAAACTCACTTTTAAGTTCTTTAAAACTAGAAAATATCCATCCAACTGCTGAGTTGTAGCTGGCGTAGAGTTCTCCAAACATGTTTGCGAGACTAAATTAAAATGTTGTACCGAAATGGGTAATGAAATAGTACCTTCTTCACGATTTTGTAATTCCGCCCTAACCATGGCAATTTTATTCCACACTTCATCATTCGTCTCTGCGCCCTCTTTTTGGGGAAACGACAACTCCAATTCGGTCAGAAGATGTGAAACTTTATCAGGATCTTCGAAGCACAAGTCCTGCGAATAGTTCAGTAGGATATAGTATATCTCAGTTACCTTATTTCGTGTTACCTCATCAAGAAATGACATGAAATGCAAAACTCCGGTGGACAACCACTCGTCGATTTGATCACTCCACGAGTCGAAAAATTGTTCGTAGATGCTAGGAAAACCAACAAATGTATCCAAATAAAGTAATGCTACACAATAAGTACGTGCCAATTCTGAATCCCTTACCAGAGAGCACGATCAGTGCTATCTGAGTCGTCTTTTGTCAGTCCCACATAAACGGAGGGAATTTTGATTGGTTTCTCCTGAGTGGTACTCTGAACGATCCAGTAGGGTTTCAGCGGAGGAGGCTCGTCCGTAGTCACAGTACTCGTATTCACTGTCGGTCGGCCTGTCTCCAGCACCTTTACGCGCTGGCCTCGTCTGAGGTATGTCTTATTCAACTCATCCAAAAAATCGCACAAAATAACACCCTCAAATTCTTTTGCAGCCTCAGGTGGTTGGACTGCTCTGTGTAATGGCGTAATTGACTTCGAGACGATACGCAGGCGATCCAGTTCAGTTAGATGTTTCTTAATTTCACCTAATTTGTCCTAAATAAAAATATTCATGAATCTAGCTAATAAAAACAAGCATTTTCTAATAATCCATCTGTATATAATAATATGCTGTTGATAAGATGTACAAAAATTTCTCATTCGTTCAATCACTTTGATTCGCCTAAATCGAGGCCAATTTTTGCCTTACAGTACATAAATGCATACTGTGATCAAATCAAGCTGACGAGAATTACAAGGAATGCGTAAAGTGTCCTTTAATGTTACTCCAAAATGTATTACGGCTTACATGCAAAAAGCTACCAAAATCTGCAGTTTTTGTTGAAAAAATTGTCGAGTCTGGATCTCTATAACCTTTCGTGCTCTCTCCCATTTGAGACCAGGACTGGTTCAGCAGGTAACGAAGGCGACCACATTTGAAATTAAACTAAAAAGTTAGTAGATTTTTGCATATTATTCAACCCAAACTCTTTTAAAGGGATGTTAGGTAAAGCGTGAGAAGCAAAATGTTTTGAGTAAATCTTATGTTTATGAATAACAGGATAACGGCTGTAATTATACTAGAGGAGATTCAAAGTGGTTATCTACCATCCATTCGGCCCTGAATAATAATTACTTTATTGGTTTTTAGAACATTCAAATAACTTCCAGCCCCATTGGGATTGATGTAGCCAAATTCACTTTCTTTGGTCGTTGGTATAAAGTTAAATTCGGTGGAAGTGTGACACCTTTGATACAATGATATTCCTTTTGTCAAAATACCCTTGACAAATTCTGGTAGAATGTGTTGGTGTCCTCATAATCCTATTGAAAATACATAGTCAATTCTTTAAAAACCAAATATTCCAGAAAATTTGTGTTTGTGGGACCTGTAATCCTTTGAATATATGTTTAACGATTCATTTCAATTTGGTAGGCAACAAAAGCTCTGCCTTTGTACTTCTGCCGCTCGGCTAGTTGCCCCCAGCCCTTCCGTGCCTTGGCAATAGATATTCAGCTCTAGTATTTGAACTATTTCCACTTCAGGAAGAACTCTTATTGCTGTATCAGTGGCAGAAGAACATGAACGCCATCCTAAGGGACAACAACCCAATTTTCTATCACTGACTGTTTCACTTTAACGCGGAGGAAGAAGGGTATATGCTGTAGGTGGGCGAATCCGTGACGATCCTTAACAGAAGGAGTGAAAATGGAGCCTGCCATCGGCAACTATCCCAGGTCCGTATTCTACAGAAATGCTATTAACAACTAAAGCGAGCGACACTGGTCGTGGCCGTGAAGCATCTGAAAATGTTCGCGATGGAGCCGTCTTTAGGACCTGTATGAGGGTGTCAATCAAGTGAACACGCAATATCCCCTCCAACTCTCTGGTAGCTGGATAGAACCTAAGTTGGTAGATAAGGCTAGGCAGCACTGAGGTGAGAACAAAGTGGCTAGGAGAAACAGGTGCGAGACCTTATCCACATGGAACTATTTTATCCCCCGTCGTATATTAAATGGCTGCGAACACACGAGATGGAGATCACATCTCCTCTTCCTCCAATACAGCTTCCAAACGGGAAGCAACTCCAGATCTAGTGAAATTGCCAAGACGAAGTAGTGACGTTGCGAGCAGATATCTTTTCAGCTGCAGGCAAATTTGATGACTGGAGAGATTAAATCGTGAGTGTTCTACCTACAGCATCGACGCGGGAGGCTGACCAAGGGACGACGCTCAAGAGAAGGGTTATGTAGTACTTTGATTGTTTAATTAATCCTTCATTCTAGTTTCGTAAGCACTTAAGACTCCGCCTTTGAACTTCCGCTGCGCGGCATAGCCTCCCGGGCCATGCCAGTGGCCCCTCCATCCCTTTTCTACGCCAGCAATACATATTCCGCAATAGTATTGTGGCTTATTTCATTCACAGGAAAAATTCGGGGCGTTACAAGACCAACTCAGCTTTTCCATATAAGCTCACAACCCGCTTCTACCCGTATCACTTGCACTGCGACTGATGACCAAATTTACATGGATCGTATGAGAGTGCATTATTAATTCTGGTGTTAAAAACATCCTATTATCACTTAGAGCCAAATAAATAAAAACGTAAATTCTCGGAATAAATCTATTATTAATATGCTTAATTTGTTAATTTTATTTAAAGAGCTTGGTCACCTTTCGACCTACTTGTGATTCATTGGATTACAAAACAATCAAATACAATGAAGCAAAGAACCTGAAAAAAGTTTTAACTGTCGCGAATCGTTAGTGAATTGCCTTTTCCTATGGATAAAATGGAGCGTGTAGCCTGGTAAAGATTGTGATAGCAATAGTAAAGAATGACTTTGAGCCTTACCTGATGATATTCAGCGGCAGCATTCACATGGTATTGTGTAGCTAGGGCACTGCTTCTCACTTTATTCCAGGCCTTGTTCAATTCCTCCTCCGAACTCTGGCAACGAATTGAGAATAATAAGAAGTAAATTCGTATGGTATAACATCAATGCTAGGATGTTCGGGAGGTCACGGTTACCTCATTCGCGATCCTGTATGAGTTTTTGGTCAAGGCAGTGGTGACGGAGCAGTCGGATATTCTAGTCGAAAGTTCCTAGAAAATGATTTAACCAAGACTTAGTTCTGGTCCCAATTTAGACTATTTGCCAGCATTACCGTAAATACAGAAGCCGGTTTATGTCTCGACTACAATTCAAACAATTTAATGCATTAAATTCAAAATATACAGAGCTTTACCTACCGAAAAAAAATTCTCAATTGACGAAATTTCTTGAAACGTGTCAAGGTACCTGCAATCGTTGGTCTAAAAAAATATACGATTTATAATTATCCAGACCAAACCGATAGTTCAAGAGGAGGCAAGACGAATAACTATAACTGAACATGGATGAGTCTAGTAGTCAAGAAATCGACCAGCCCAAATCTAGCAGTACCCGTTTTCAAGTGCCCTTTAGTCTGAATTTCAGAGTTTAAAAGGTAATTTGGCTAAGTATGGAACGTATTATCCCAATAACTAACATACATCCTTATTTAATGCTTTAGTCCTCAGTTCAGGTAAAAGGGCAGTTAGGGGCTCGACTATTTTACCTCCGCTAGGCGGCCTAGTCTCTGGGTTGTGTCAGTAGTACCCAAGCCCTCCTGTAGGTCGGCAGAACATATTCTGCTCTGGCATGAAGAAGGGAAGTCTCAGAGTGCTGCACTTATATATCCCTAAGAACATGATTAATAATTCTATTCTCCAGCACAATTCATGAAGCATTTATTGACAAGTTATTTTAACTACTTGGTCTTTCTATTTCACATTCAAACATAGTGTATGTATTGCTACAAGCACGTTTAGTATCTTTCATATGTGAATCAAGTTGACGATCATGGCGGAATAGATCTAGAGTAGCATGTTATGAGGATAGCATAAGGACGTGGAGTTACGGGAATGTTTCGAATGAATAGGCAATTTGATGACTCGAATAACTGATAATTGAACGATTGCGATTCAAAAATGTTATCCAGCTTGTAAGGTATGAAATTCAGAAAGCTTAAGAACTATCAATAAGAGCTAGTACCCAACAGCTAATGATTTATATTAATGTAGTAAGGCTATGAATTGTATACATGCACCGTAAAAACCTTCCGATCCTATAGGGGGACAAGACCTACCTCGAGGCAAGAGAAGGAGTCGGGCGACATCTTCTTGTTGAAATCGGTCCTCTTCCGGCAGTGCCTTGCAGCGTTTCACAGGTTCTCACTCAACAAATGAACAGATACTGGCCCCTCTAGGATTTTCGTATACAGGTAGCACGAACTGCGGGCGAGCAATGTGTGTGACCTAGGCCTTACCCGTGTTCTCCAGGTCACCCACCACAGGAGGCAAGATAGGGGACCAACGCAACAAAGAAAACAGTGGTATCTAGAGTGAGGTCACCTTCTCTTCAGACTATTCTGATGTGACTGTCGAGTGAAAATTTTTCACTTTTTCAAAAATAATTTATGTATACGAGAGCTAACTGCAGCATACACAATCTTAGGGTTATTTTACCTATTCTCATTATGTTAAAAAACATTCTTTTAGGGTAAAGTGCCCCACACTTTTAACTTGTGTTTGAGATTTGATCTTCGCCTTCTTGTTTACTCAGGCCTGCTACCGCTAATAGCAGTAATATTTGAGAGAAATGGTAGCTTAAGCGAATCCATTACTTGAATGGTACAATACTAGATACCTCTCACATTGTTGAGGTCGTTAAATTTTATGTAAACCTCACGTAACAAAGACACCAATCAGTGGGCACTTATACTCTCTCGTAACAATTTGGTGATTTGTTCAACTCTGTTTTGGTTCCACGGGTCTTAAGACACCAAAATCAATCTTCCACTAAGCGGCATGGACTCCAGACCTTTCTTTACATCGACACGGAGCGCTACATTGGTGGCAGCCGTCCTAAAGGATAAGTATCCTGATTTCCGTTACTGATGGCTAAACTTAAACGTGATGGAAGAAGGCCAAATACTAAGGATGGGTAAATTTTTGCCGATCCCTAACTAAAAGGGTGAAAGTGGCGGCTACCTTCGGCAACTACTACAGTATCGTGTTCCGCAGGAATGCTATTGAGAACTAAATCGACACTAACTGTATCCATGAACCATGTGGAAAAGCTCGTTGCACAGCTACGACACCTGTACGAAGATGTAAATGAGGTGAACGCGCGATACCTTCACTTCTCGACTAGCTGGGTAGAACCCAAATTGACAGATAAAGCTGGGCAGCACTAAGGTGAGATGGTAGTAAGGAGGAAGAGACAGGAAACCGCATCGTCACGAAGCCATTCTAAATCCGTCACGTATTGGATGAACCTGCTTTTAGGCCAATGTTCTTACGAATAGCGATGAACTTACATGATGGCCTGAGCACTTCCCCTTCCCCAAAAAAGTTCCCAAACAGGACGAAACTCCAGATCCTGCGTTTAAACATCTTTTAGGTGCACGCGAATTCGATGGCTGGCGCGGTTGGTTCATGGATGTTTTTCGTACAGTAACGGTTGCGTCGTGGTGGCCGACACAGAAGGTTGACTGAGGAAAGCGTCAGATACAAGGTTCAAAAAGAGATGTTTAACTTTTCTTTCCGGTTTTGCAAGAACTAAAGGCCCGGCCTTTTCACTTTCGCCGGGCGGAATGACCTCTGGACCTTGACAGTAACCGCCCCCAGACTTTCCATACTTCAGTAACATGCATTCTTCGCTAGTTGTCACTTCTTCCATTTCCAAAGGCATTCGAGATGCCACAATATTGACGATACAATAGAAGAGTCAATGATGGATTTCATACCACTTGGGATCTCCAAGACATTGCGGTACTCCACTTGTATCTGACTCAGAGCATTAGAGAAGACACATATGAGCCGAATAACTTTTTGACCAAACCATTTAGTCGGTTTGTAACCAAATAAGCAGTCTCCTTACTATTCCTACAAATTATCAACACTTCACTACTGACGACTTAAAACGTATTAACTTGCCTGCCCTTATCATGTTCTTGAGGTGAGCAAATTTGCCTGTTGCGAAGTTGACCGTAAAAGGTGCGGCCTCGGGCGTACCATACCAAACGAGATAAGTACTGTGCTGACATTTTCAAAATGCATGACTTTAAAGATTGTGTTCAGGGGCTAATTCTGCGCACTTAGGTTAAGAGAGGACCCCTTGCTTCAACTAGCAAATCACTTTTCAACCATCCAAAGATTTGGGGTGCGTACCAAGGATTTAGACAAAAGACGTTTTGCCTGAAAGAAACATCAGTTTAATAAAATTCTTTAGTCGTAACTCTTAACGAATAATTCAAAGCAGTTTGTTTAACTAAACACTAATTCACTGCTTGGCATAACGATTGTGGTAATGCTCAACATTTTTTCTGGGTATTTCCAAGTTTCTAATTCCATAATTTTATTCATCTGTGGTGTACACGGATCCTAGTCTAAGTAATTTTATAATTTGAGCAGCTATAGTTTCGTAGCACCTTCGCACCTAGGATTTTAACGCAGAATCCACCCCCACAGTCTAGATGGCATCAAGTTTCTTAAAGCGTTTTTGTAGCATAATGATTAAAGGTTGAGAACGTTATGCACTCACCTTGTCAGTTTAAGCCTAACTAGTCTGTTTGTCACAAAACTTGGTCTGTCGCATGCCACAAACATACAGAACGCTTCATATTTGACGCTGACATCTTCCGCATAACGCACTCAAGTCTATGCATGTCAGTGAATCACGGGCCCTGTAGCTGTTTAATGTGAGGCGAAATGTAACCAATTTTTCGCTAGAAGCCAACTAAAAGTAGGTCTGTTATTCCATCCAATTAATTAATGGAAGCACATAGGGGATGTCTGCAATCCACATTCGAAATTCATTAATACTAGATGATAGTATAACGAAGGTTAGAATCAGAATGACAAGATTAGGCAATAAGAAAAGGTGCATAAATAGCACTATGAATGCGGTTATTTGCGTGCAAAAGTGTTATAAGGGTCTCTAAAATGAAGCACAAATCATGCTGCGTTTGTGTATGGAACATTCCAGGCAGAGAGATTCTTTCAGTTCTCTGTAACAGGGTGAGATTAAGGCTACGACATAACACTTCCTGAAACTGCGAGTTGCACGCTTTCTTAATGTTCACCGAATCAATCTTACAAGTAAAATTTGTTGAAGGTGGTGGCTGACAGCCTCTTCATCGCCTTTGATCACTGTCCGAATACCTACTGATTAAGCCACTTCTTGAGTACCTGGTCTGTTCACCTACTTGCCCTGTGTAATGTTGACTTCTAGACCACGTTGAGGATTGCTCTCCGCTGTAGTGACCACGACTAGAGTCCTCATACGCGTGAATCTCTTCGAACTCATGCCGAACCGTGCTTACAGGTCCATCTGACGGATAACTAGTTGCGGGGTAGCTGTAAAATTGACCATCTCCCACTTCCAACGTTCGATGACTTCCTGAATGCTCTTCCTGATGCGATATTTGCTCACCGGAGACTTCCATGTGCCCGTGATGGGAAGACGAAAGGACATAGACCTCACTGTGTTCAAACTCACCTACTTCAGTTAAATATGGTGGAGTTCTCGAACTTTCTGTTTCATATTCAGGTGAGTGAGACCCGCTTCCAAGATGACTGTGCATCGTGTCAGGTGCGTAGGGGGAATACTGTCTGACTACAACCTGAGGACGTCCACTTCTTTGGTAATCATCTCGTCTGTAGAGATCCGACTGATCTTGATCGGGTCTTCCAGCTCTGCTTGAAAGGAGACTGATTGATGTCGACAACAGGCGTCTATTGCCACCAGATCCGCTTGGCTGACTGAGAGGTATCCATTTGTTGATGTTCATCTCGGGCACCAATCGAATCCATCCCGCTTGTCGGGCTGTGAGGAAGTTGCACCACTGAGACACGGCAAATTCTGGCGGTGGCGTTTTGCCACTCTCAAATGGCTGATAAGATGGGCGTGAAGGCCAATCAACAGCAACATCACCGGTTTGTCTGTTAAAGAGACCGAGTCGTACTGCGTCCTCCGGTCTTAGCCACTCACATGGTTCACCACCTGGTCTGATAGCTGTCACGTGATAAGCGCGGGCCACACTCGGTTGCTGCCGCCACATCACCTCTTCATCACTCTCCTGATCGTAGATCTTATCAACTTTTAGGATATTCTGCGAAATGGCCTCCTCGGCTGTTATCCATGTGTTGTCAAGACTGTTCAACACCCAGGTTACTTGATTTTCATCTTTACGTATCAGTCCATCCAACTGAGCTTGGCGTATTGGGATGTATTCCCTATTTACAGTGTTGAGCACGAAAGTGGCATCTGCTCTTTCCTGTACTGCAGATTCACGCTCAATGTAGACAAGGGAGGATGTAAAGTTGCCGTTGGGGGAGGCAGTGTTCGCGAATCGGATGCGGCCCTGTGCCAGTGCCGTCTCGAGTGGAATGGCGTGTCCGGTGGTTGGATCGATGTACTCATTTTGTCCACCCAGCTGAATCCAGCCCTGACGAATCGCAAAGCTTACTGGAGCAAACAGCCCTGTGATCGGACTAGCTACCTCGCGGATGTCGTTCCAACTTCTTGCGTCAATCTGAGTCATCATGTCACACAACTCGTATTCGACAATGCGCTGGCGAATCGTGATCGGCAATTTCTCAGTTCTGTTGAAAAGATAGAAAAAAATCCAGTACAAAAACTTGTTATGATATCCGACTTAAGACTTTCCAAAAGTTTTAAATGAGCTTGTCTCTATGCTATCAAGGTCAACTTCATCATGGAATGAAATGAAATTTTGGGCACTTAAGTTTTGGGGTAGATATGGTTATCGCAATTTATTCTATACAACAGTAGTTAAATGATTTAACTTACTCAGGCTGTCCCATCGGCAAAACAAGGTAGTTTTCCTGTTCTCGTTGCAGGTATTCTTCCTCATGAGCATCTTGGTCGAAGAAGTAGGTCATGATGTCCAAATCATGCAGGCAGTCATGACGGAAGGACTTCGCCTCCGGTTTTGATAGACCTTCAAGTTGCTGGCGTAGGTAATCATAAGAAAGCGGTTCCGTTTGTGACGCCTCTGTCACAGTGGAAATGCAAACCTGGGTCTTGACGTACATCGGTTCGTCCACCACGTGTATCACATCGGTTATATGTGAGTAAGCAGTTTCCGTGTCCGTTTTCTGCATATGGTAAGTCGTCACAGTGGAATCGAGTTCGGTCTGATGACCCCGGTCAATGGTGATTGCTTTACTTTCTACTGGCTGCTGATAGGCGAAGACTTGGTCCGTTTTCTTTATTTCAATCACACTACTTTCCGTAACACTAGTCTCAGGTTCCAGCTTGATTTGAACGCCGAAGTCTTTGGTTGTTGGAAGGGCAATGGATTCGGTTTCCCTTATCTGACCCAGTCTTCGACGCATTGTGTATGACTCTTCCACACTTTGTTCACTCTTAGTGCTTGTTTCGTACTCGAAGGGCTCATGAACAATTGTTTCGTATGGGAACTGTATACCTACCTCTGCGCCCATGTACTTCTCCACCTCCTCAACCGCAGATGAGTACTCCTTTAGGTAACCTCTACTTAAAGTTTCATCATATATGTCCGTGTTCATCATCGAATAGCCAACATTGGAGAAATATTCCTCCAGTTCTTCAGTGACACATCGATCCCATGTGGATGCTCTCACACTTCTGAACAATTCGTAGAACTCGCGGGTTGACTGCATACTGCTGAACCCAGTGCTTGGGCTGAACTCTGCCCAATGCATCAATGGTACTCTCTCCGTCTGCGTTTCCACTACTTGAGTGTCAGTGAATTTATAGTACGTTTCGTTCACTTCAACTTCTTCGTAGGCAAATTCTTCAGGACTCCTTGTTAGCTCAATTGATTCTGCCGGCGAATCAATTAGCGAGCACTGAATGCTGCGATGTTTTGAAGGCATCAAAATAGTCTCCACGGCATTGTATTTCATAGTAGGGTAGGTGGGAACTTCCTCTTCCCAAATAAATTCGCTCTCTTCGGTCTGCAAGTTGATTGACTTAACAACACTGACTTCCGTCATGGTCAACGATTCAGCAACTTGTGGTGGTTGCGTTTGCATGTATTTATCAGTTACCTCTGCCTTTTCAAGAGCAGGAGCGGGAGGGTGAGGAGGAGTTGCATAAGCAACATCAGTTGCTTGTGGAGCAATTTCCAAAAGTGTCATTGTAGAAGTGCAGACAGAGTTTGATGTTTTTGAAGCAGGAGGCGTCTGCGAATGACCAAGTTTAACAAAACTGACAATCGGTGCAGTTTCTGTTGGTGGTGCTGCATGAGCCACGGACGTACGTTCTTCTTTTTCAATGAGTGGTTCTGGCTCCTCTACCTTCATCGGTTCTGTCGACGCGTCAACACTTAAATGTAACAGTTCGGTAACCATGCTAATGACCTGTGTGGGGACTTTCGGTGTTAAAGGTTCAGTCACTGAAGACGTAGTGGTGAGGACCTCCTTTGATGGAGCTGTAATGCTCACATTGGCGTAGTCTGGACTGCAACCACTGGAAATTGCAGTGGTAGAAGGTTCGAGTGGTTGAGTTGGTGGGACAGCATGCACTACAGTAGGTCGTTTGGGCTCAATGAAAACGTCTGTCATGATGGCGATTGACCTACTGACTGGTCGTGATACTTCCGTCTTCGACCCTTCTGCAATATGCGAAATCGTTTCCACGTAGCCAGGTAGTGCTAGAGCCTGCACTCCTACGGTTGTCACAGTTGAGAGAGTTGGTACCACTTTTTCGGGTTCGGGTTTTTCAGCTGCCTGCACTCCGACAGTCTGCAATTTCATCTTCAAAGAGGTGATATCTTCAGTCACGACCACTTGTTGTTCAGAAATGTGTGTAACTTGAGCAGATGCATTCACTGTTGTGCCCTTAGAGAAATATTGTGTTGACATGATCTTGGGCTCCAAATCTTCTGTTGTTTGTGCATCCGGGCTTGTAACTACTGGCTCGCTTAACACACTGGTAATACTGCCTTCGCAAAGAGATTGAAGTGGTGTCTCCATCGCGCCAAACCTAACTGAAGTAGGCTCAGATGTCGCCTCAATTGGTGGAGCTGAGCTAACTGTAACGGTTTCTTCCTTTTCAATAAGAGGCATTGGCTCAGCAAACACAATTGTCTGTGTTCCTCTGTTTACACCGGAAAATATGGGCTCAGTTAAAACACTGATATCCTGTAAAACAGTCTTCGGCAGTGGTGCTTCAGATGCTGATGATACAATGCCTGACATTTCCTTCAATGGCGCCCAAGCCTCGGCGTCCGTATGATCCAAAATCCATTCACTTGTAATTACTTCAGTTGGACGTTCAAGTGCTTGCGATGGGAAAACGGTGTCTGGTCTGAGGAAACTCGACGTCACTTCCGACTTCGGTGTTGCTGTGGCAGTGGGTGGAACAGAGTGCAATACAATAGGCTTTGCGGGCTCAATCATCGCCTCAGTCATGGTCGCCGTTGACGTAGTAATGCGATGCGGAATTGCAATCGATGTGACAATCAGACTCTGTGGTACCTCTGTAACGTGAGTTGTCGTTTCGGCTTGACTAGGCGACATCAGTGCCTGCACTTCCAGCGAATGCATCAGCGGACGCTTGGGTGAAGAGAGCAATGATTCGGATGTTGTCGTTGCCTGCAATTCAACGGCTCTCATTGCAGGTTTCAGAATCGCTCCTTCAGACACAGTCGTGTGAAGTTCAGGAACGTAGGACACTTCTGACTTGGCTAGTGTAAGAACAACTTTCGCAGGCGCAGGTGTAGTAGTAACTTTCGGCTCAAAGCCGTCCGCTGTCATAATCGCTCTATCCGTTGTCAAGGGCTTGGCCATTTCACTGGTGGAGATGCTATTGTAAACAAACTGCAGAGGTGACTCTACGTTACAGTATTTAATTAAAAGAACAGCAGCAGACACTTCAGCTAGCCCTGATGTCACTTCCGTCAGTCGTGTTGGTTGTTGCATCACCGACGACACCGTGGTAGAGATGTCATGTGTTTCACCTGCTGC